AATCAACATCTAAATTCGTGATTGACGGCTCCTCATCCAATTCCGGTGATTTTCCGCCAATAAATTACCTCCAAGACCATCTCGTCTGGAAATCGTTTTGTTAACACATTATATATTTCAGCGGTTCAAGTAACAGTTGGAATTCTCGGCATGCAATATGTTAACATTTAATAAAAATTGTAATATAATTATTTTACTGTAATATAATTGTAATATAATTATTTTACTGTAATATAATTGTAATATAATTATTTTACTGTAATATAATTGTAATATAATTATTTTACCTTTGTTAAGTAAATTTTAAGTAAATTTTGTAATACAAAGATATGTTATATTTAAAAGTGTCTAAAAGACTTACCTAAAATATACACCATTAGTGTCAATCGTTAGAGGTGTGTTTAAACCAGGTCCATCGGGACAGTGAAAACAATATACATATCTTTTTCTGCAAAAAAAATTTTTCAACAACAATAAAGACTATAAAGAAATAAGCAACAAAATTCGAATATCTTCTTTTCATTTTTAATGAAATTACCTAGGTACAACTGGTAAAGGTACAGATAACAATCCTTCGCCTGTTCCAATATCAGCTAATTCAGCTATGTCGCCGCTAAACGCACCCGCAGCAATAATTACTATCGAAAATTGTATTGTCCTAATCTCATCGTCTTGTGTTTTTATCTGATATAAAACATTAATTATTAGATAAACATTGCCATATTCGTAATTAGAAAATTATATAACATCTTAAATGCATAGATAATTCAATCTACTCGATTGTAAATATATTATAAATAATAAATATGTATCTATCTGTATGCTTACCACTACATTATTTAATTTTTTTACTAGGATTCATATCTTTATCGAAAGTTCCTGGAATTGTCTTATATTGAAAAGCCTTGACTTCAGCATTGACATATTGAGCACCTAAATAACTAGCCTTTTTTTTGAAGGCACATAACAGAGACCATGGATCAAACCATCCCTCTTTTTCCAGGCCAAGACAACCCACCGCAACCCCGTCAGTGTTTATCCAAGGAAACATCTGCTTCAACTTCTCTTGAGTCAAAATGACATTTTTCGCTCCTAAAGAATTCTGTAGCTTAGAATTCTGTACTAAAGTTTCAGCACCTGCCTCTGTTGCCAATACTAAGTAACCATAAGGATGAAAGTTTACATCAATAGGCGGTTCTCCAGGGACACTCAAGTACTCGTTGATGTTTCGCAGGAATTCTGCGCCATACACCGACATACGGATATTTTCTTCAAGAGAAAATTGTTGACGCAGGCCACCTACTGAAAGAGTCGTGGAAGCCTTGGCATACTGAAATATCCAAATATTATGTTTAATTGCCAAATGCTCTTCATCATTGATTCAAAAGAAGCCTAGAAAGTATATGCAATATATTACCGTAGGATCTTTTTCAACTATAACAACACTGAATTCTTCCCTGTGCATTTTCTGCTTCAACCAATATGCTATAGAGCTACCAATTGCACCACCACCAATAATAAGCACGTCGCAATGACTGGGAATTATCTCACGTTCCTTCCAGAATGTCTCCAAGTTGGAGAACTCTCTATCAGATGTGAACAATCGTTTCAACGACTTCCAGTCCTGTTTTAAATTTTTCAGCATTCTTTGCCCTGGAGTGACTCTTTCAACAAAGTCTTCGTATCTCTTTTCGCCGTCTTTGATCTCTGAACCCTGAAAAGTTCATATAATAATGAGTTGAATATCCAAAAGTAGACTCATGGCTCACTCGATCATTTGTTATTCATTGTTGTCATGGCGAAAAAATAAGGATCATAAAGAAAGAAACACATAGAAACATAGAAAAAAACAAAAGTTCGATGAAATCGCCAAGAGCTATCTGTTATATTCAATTCGATAGATCTTATCCGATGGAAACGTCCGACCTTTCGGCTTCTAACCTTTGATCACACATCACGTGCAACTCACCTTCTTTCTGGAAGAGATCATGAACTGAACTGCCAAGCATTGCTTTAGCAGATCCGCGCGTCTGCGTCCACATGTCAAGTGTCGTAGCATCCTCGACAGTCAATAAAGTCCTCTTCTAGAGCCAACAGACCGGAGTATCGACTAATCTGACGAATGTCATTCAGCTCACTGTTCCTTTGGACCGCATTTGCAATGATTTATCAGCTCTGCCAGAGAACAATAGATAAACAAATATTTATCGCCCGTTTGTCAACGTAAATAAAATTGTCAATTTACTCGTATTTACTTATGACATTTTGTCAGCCGATAAAATTATTAATTGTTGACGGAAAAGAAAAAATTTATTTTTTATCGGATTCTCACTAATAAAAATCACACGCATGCGTAATCACACGCATGCGTGCTCCTTGCTGATAAACGAATCATTTTTTCGCAATTTATCTTCGTTGGATTACGTTTGAAAATATGCTTTTATGATAAATATATAAAAGGTGGATATTGAATCGATTTATATAATTTAATATATGTTTATAATTTATACTTATTTCCTAATTAATTCATGAATTTCGAATTTTTTCGTAATTGTTGCATTAAATGGTTGACTAGATTTTAATTATATTTGCAAAAAATATTAGCATTATTAACTGATTAATGTTGGTTTCTTATGGAAAATTATTGTTTAGATAAATGAACGAGCGTATACGCAGAACCTACTTGATTTCTGCTTCAGTTTGCTGGCATAGAATATCAACAATTTCTGTCAACAGAATGCAATCTCAGACGTCAGACGTTTGCTAATGTAAGATGTTTTCTGTTGCCTGTCGATATCTTGCTAACATTTTGCTGACTAAGCTTATAATCATCCATTCTTAATCTATGTACTAGGTAAAAAATATATTTTTTCATAAATTATCTCTATTTTTTCATAAATTTTCATAATTATCTTTATAGGTATATCAAAGATATATTGATAAGCTTTGCATGCATGTTAATAATCACTGCAATCAGTGTTATCTTCCTAAGTAATATTTGTGATAGGATTTTAATTTTCCTACTTGATAACATTCTTTTTATTTACAGCTATTAAAAGTTTATACAATAGAAATTGAATTTTGAATTGAAGCTTAGTGTTAATATCCTATCATTCTTTACAACATTGTTACATTCTTTACAACATTGTTAAATTGTATAAGTTTAATATTTAGTAGAAACTATAAACAATAATGGCATAATGATAACAACACTGTTGATAAGTTACAAAATATTGATTTAAGGAAATAAAAGATATAATTATACCAAACATACCAAATGTTCTTATCAAGCATGAATTTGCTCGAATTTTTATTTTATAAAAATAAGACACTCTGTTTTTTTCCAATGATTGAAACGAAATTAGATACATTCAAATTTTGTTTTAAAAATAAATAACAATTTTTAAATAAAAGTAATTGTTTAATATTATGTTAGGGATATTTTGCAATTAATTATATTCTTTTATATAGTAGTGTTTTTATGTACTTTTTCATGTAACTTAATATTTCTTCTAAGAAATAAATATTCATTAAAGCGTCATATCTATTTATTTTTCATAATAAATTTTTGTACAGATGATATATTATACATATTTATACTGAGTCGGAGA